GGAACCAGCGGCGTCCTTCGCTGCAAAGTGGCCTGCCTCACAAGGCACACATTCCGTCTGGCCGTGGAACTGGTTGACTTTGCCTCGCAGGGGCTCACTCCGGGTCGGTCCGGCGAAGTTTTGCTCACTCCAAAAAGATCAGAAGGCACGAAGGTCGGGGATGTGCGCCCACTCCAAGAACGAGTCTGCCGGACCAGCGAGCCAGCGCGCACCCTTCCTCTCCCCCCGCCTGCCGGACAAGCTTTGCACACAAAGGTGCCCTCCCATGACTCGCTCCACGTTCCCGGAGCACACAGCACGCAGCGCGCTTCTCCTGGATGAGACGGTCAAGACCGACTCGCTAATCGACCAACCCGTCGTGGGGTGGGTCATCCCCCTGGCTGGCTACCAGGTGGCGTGGGTCATGGACACCTCATCGCCTTTTTGGGAGGATCAAGATAGCCAGCCTCACGGCAGGGGTTCTTTGGGATCCGCAGTAGGCTCGACCCTGCCGGGTCACCAAGGGGTTCGACCTGTGAGACCTGTTCGCTCTGTCGAACCCGGGGAACAAGGAGACCTGGCAGGGGAAGTCAGTATAGACCTGGATGTTCGAAGGACATGCAGACTGTCTGCCGAACATTCCCTCCATGAAACCAGCCCAGTTCGGGAAGTTCTGCACTTGGAAAAAGCTCTTGGCATGGAGCTTCCGAGTGGTCAGTTGCCAGTCTTCCAGTCGAGATGATCCCAAAACAAACTTCCAAACAGGCCTTGGTCCCTCAAATCCATACGGATTGGAGGGTCCGGACCGCTCCAAAGGATTCGGGTCCGGCCCCTACTGAACGGAGGGTCCAGGGTCGCGTCTGGGTTCAAACCTTGCACTTCAGGTTTGCCATAAATCGTCGACCTGAACTATTCTGAGGGTCAGTCAGCACCCTTGAGGTGCCTGGGGCCGTAGAGGGGAGTGCAGCTCACCACCTCCGGCCAACCAGCTTTCTTGTGCTTCAGGGAAACCCTCCCTTCCAGTTCAAGCAGAGGTTGTTTCCCTAGAAGTTCGGCGATACATTGTACTATACTACTTGGTACCACCGAAAGGCTTCAAGCGTCACGAGCGTCCAAGACTCGCTACCTTCCAGTTCGTCCAGCTCACCGCGGGGGTTCCAGGCTTTCCCAGGTGTCTCAGAACTGGACCCGACCCGACCGCCTAAGCTACCCTTGAAGCCTCTGCGGGGCCCGGATTCGAAGGGTCCGAAGTGGATCACATCAAACCCCCTACCTTTCAGAGTGAAAGATCCTGCCAATGTCCAGAGTTCGGATCTTGCCAAGGATGCCACATGTTTCAGCCTTTTCCTCCACCCCTAAAGGCGTTCCGGGGGGGTTGGGCGGCCCAGCACGGAGGCTCAGTGAGTCCCATCTGGGCATCCCCCACCGCAGTGGTGGGCTCGGGAGATGGCACAGTCCATCCAGGAGCCGTTCTCAAACTGGACGCCAGTACCAGCAGCACAGATCTTGAGCCTTGGATGAATTTTCTGGCCGAAAGATATCAAGACATCTTGAGTACTCAGAGGCATTTTCTGAAGAACCTTCGCTCCTTGGATTCCCTCACCTGCCGTTCCCTCAGCTACGCACGGACTTCACCAGTGCGAACCAACCACACACCTGTCAGAGTCGGAAGTGGAGTCTTTCTTCCTGGTGCAGGTCACAACTAATAGGTGCAGGGTCGAGGCCGAAGAGAACCTGCCGGGGGGGAGCGGACCCAACGACGCCGCCGCCGCTGGTGTGGCGGTCAGGTTTACTTTTTGGGGGAGCACCAGAAGGTGGATCCCATTGGAAAGAGCTTCTTTCACCTCCACAAATGGGGTTCGTGGTGTGAAGGAGACTTGGATTTGGATCAATCGCTGTGAAACACCGGGAGGCCAAACAACGAACCTGTTTCGTCTTCATCGCTTGAACCTGTTTCAAGGTCGGTTGAACCAGCTGAAACCGACTCCTGACACCGGTGCTTTTCGACCTTTGCAAGGACTGATAGATCTCCTTCTTCTCCTTCTTTCTAATGGACCTTGCCTTCATGCATTCCAAAATGCATCCAAAAAAAGGAGAGAACAAGGGGCTTGTTGCGGCCTCCCCGGCGTCCGTGCGCACGGCCATCCATCCAAGGCTCTTCGGAAGCCAGGCCATCCAGCGCTCCCGGTGGCTGCGGAGCCACTCGCAGGTCACATTCTCCAGCGGTTGGACACAGGACGGCTCCTGTTGGGGTCTCCGTGCCACGTCGACGTGCCGTTCGAGACGTTCGTCGCGGAAACAGGTCTGGGCCAAAGAGATGGCGCGACGTGAGTGGTTCTGGGCGCGATCCGCCAGAAAGCCTCACTGAGTGGTTGGGACTGAGGAGTTCCATCCAGACTTGGGACTGGGTGCCAGGAATGGACTGGGCCAAGAACAAAAACCGTCTGGATGTGTCCTCTGTGTTCAACCAAACCGAGTCGCTTCTGCACAGAGAAGGATCTCAAGAAAGCACAACCAAGTGGGTTGGGACTGGGTCTCCAGGCATCATCCCTGTCTGGGTGCCCCCCCTGGACGACCCTCTCCCAAAATCGCCACTTAAGGCACCAAGAAAGAAAATCTTCAGGTTGTTATGTAACGGATCTCTACACTTGCATGATCATTTCAGGAAGTGTAAGGATTCTTTAGGCCAGTGAAGACCGCACCGAAGCCTTTCAGTGATTTCAGTGTGTGTCAGTGGACACTTCCTTCCAGTCCTCAATGAATCAGTCAACGGGTAAAGCGTTTTTGCATCGATGTGTTTGGAAACCGATGGACTTTTGTTGTGCTTGTTTCCCTACACCTCCAAGTACCTCCTCAGAAGATATTTGGATCCGCCAAACCCATCTCCCATCTTCTCAGAAGGTACGACTGGAGGCCTAGGTTTTGTATCTCTGATACCAGATATTCTGCAAATCAGTTGAAACCGATCTCCTCTCAGGTTGCTGGGGTTTACACCCCATTTTGGGTGTTTAAGAAATCAAAAGGCAAAAAGGAAGGAATGGGTAATGGGCGCGGTGACAACACCAAGCTGCTTGCTTCAGGACGATTCCAAATCTGGAGTTCGCAGGCCCATCTAACAAGTTTGCTTTCAAAAGACAACGAAACATGGTCGGTATGGGGTATGGGGTATGCGTAGCAAAACCTGATCACAAGTCGAGCGCCAAATTTCCGTGTAGTTTCAGCCGCATCGTTTCTGTTAGGTGCATAGCTTTTGAACCGTTGTTGGTTGCTTTTTAAAAGATCAGCAGTGTAGGAACTATGAATTTTCTGATTGCAAAGATGATGAACAAGCCCTCTACAGTACCAGCGCCACCAACTCTGTGGTGAGAAGGAGTGCCCAAAAACACGTCCGTGGCCGAGTTCCTCCTCGCAGTTCGCATGTTGTTCCTCAGCACGAGAGAGTGCTGCGAAGAGAAAAACGATTTGAGTCCAGTGTAGCATGATGCACTTCCCAATGACCATGTCATGTTTGTTGGCACCTCCCATGTGTGACGTCCCAACCGAAAGATTGATTTCGGTCTGTTTTTTGAGATTCCTCACAGGTCGGTCTCATGGGGTCTCCCTATTCTAATACACACATTCCGGCAACGTCCGACCGAGCGCTGACTCGCTTGGTGGAGCCCGCCCCTTCATGTGGTTCGAGTCGGCTTGTCAGCGGAGGGAGAGTCCCATGTTCATGGGAGGAGAGAAGACCTGCGCCTCTAAAGGGATGGAAGTGAAAAGACCTGCGCCTCGGAAGCTTCTCGGAAGCATTCTTCCCTTGTCTCTGTCCACCATTCGGTCACGTCCGTCGATCATCTCCCCCGAACCTGACGTTCCGGGACCTGAAGCAGACATATTCTCGGTACTTGTAGGGGGTGCATCAACCACCCAAACTGCTTGGCGCCTGGTTTAGCACCTGATCATTCACTGTTTGGAACAAGGTATCGATCTGAAAAAAGGAAGAAAACGGTGCAACATGAGCACCACGCAAATCCCGCTCCAAATCCAAGGTCTTGGAGCCACCCGTTCCGCCTGTTCCGGAAAAAAGCAACAACTCTTCAAACATTGGAAAGAAACATCTATGCGAACTTACCATCGCTGACGGATGATGCCACCGAGCTCAGCAGGCTCAGCACGAGCAGAGCTCGCTGCGGTGACGCTCATAGATTAGATGCGATGCGCATTGTTTACATGGATGTCTCCATCTCAATCTCCTGACCATCTTCCCCATCTCTACATGCCTCATGTGAAGCCTTTCGATCGTCCATCTCCATCTCCAAAATCTCGGCTCCAAGGGACCAAGAGGTCGTTCATCTCTTCTGTATCAAGTTCCAGCTGCCTCAGAACCTCTAAAGCTTCAGTCCTCAGCCGATTCGCGACGCGACGCCACGACCGCGAATCGGCGTCCAAACCGGAATCGGAGTGGGCAGGAGGGCAGAGCGGCGGGAGGAGCGGGCTCTGGAGCCAGATGAGCTGGGCAATTGAAGCGAAGACTGGGGGAGGTAAGCAACTGGGGAGGCGCATCTTGACAGGTACGTGAGAAACCAACGCCTTGTCTTCGATGCTTCCCTCGAAACTCACCGGAAATGCCATGAAACCGCTGCCTGTACACATACCTAAAGCATTACAGAGATTCGGCCATCTGGTGACCATAACCTTTGGGTTGTGGATGAAGTGAACAGCAGACATCAGACGTAGCACTGATCCAACCAGCACCTTCCAGCCAGTCTCCAAAATGCAGACTTCAAGTCAGACTTGAGGCCGAGGGTTAGTGACTTGAGGGTTAGTGACTTCCAGCCCCTCACTTGCTAAAGCAAGAACAACTCCAGCTAGCTGGTGCTAGCTTTCGTGACTTGACTTAAAAGGTTGCCAAATGGTGAACTGAACTGGGGGGGTCCTGGTATATATATATATACACACACACACAAGTTCCGTGTGCAGGTTCACCACCTGGGGTGTGATTGTCAAGAATTTCAAAACATACCAGAGTAAAAGTGCAGACAGTATTTGAGAGGAAAATGGAAAAGCGCAGACATTCATCCAGGGGGGTATTATTAAAGCCAAAAAGGGATAACGTTACTGTAGGGGTTATATTATTCAAGGGTTCTAGTGTGTACTGGGCTACCCCCTTTGTAGAATAGGTGCTTGCAATGATTCAAACAAATCGGTGAGGAAACTAAAAGAAATTGACGAATCTAAAGTAAATCAATGGAATCAAAAGGAATTTATATAGATATAAAGAAAACATTGTGAATCAAAAGGAAATCACTTGAAAACAAAAGGAATTTGCAAGGGAATCAATAGGAATTCGAAAAGAAGTTTAAAGGACATCAATAGGAATAGATAGGGATTTAAAATGGAATCAATAGGAGTCAAAAGCGAATTAAAGGGACATAAATGAAGGAAATTCAAAATGCAACTGCCCATACTGTGTCTGTGCCTGCATTTTTCAGATGGACCATTTGTGTAGGCTCTGGTAAAGCAAACACACACACACAAATAATATAGATAAGCAAGCCGGGGAAAATCTGGTGTAGTAAAGGGTAAAATGTTTTGTTTTTTTGCTTTGGGCTTTTCTTTCTCTACCAGAGCAGTATGTGAAGCTCATTATGTTCTCTGTTGCCTTGCCTCCAGTGTATCATCTTTGTGGCTCATACCAAGCCAAACAAAATCAAGTCCACAAACTGGTCACGTCTTTTCACTACCCCAGATTGTCCTCAGCTCGGTTGGTTTGTTGATGTTTGGATGTTTGTTGGTTTTTCTTCTTTGGTTTTTTTTTGGGTGATTGGTTCGTTCAACATCGGACATCGGGGGTGTCTCTTGGGAACGGACAACGTGTCATGGTGGAAAAGCGTCCAGGGAGATCCGAACGAACATGGGAAGAACCAGACCATCCCTTTTTGACCAAGTCTCAACCGTAATGTCCGGGATCTAAGACATGTGTCCACTGAAGGCCATTGATACGACATGCTGCTCTACTTAAGCTAGCAATATTGGGTCTATCCTATTGCCAGTAACAGTGCATGAGCATGGATAGTAAAGGCCTTTCTCCAATATAGTGACAAGTGTTTACCGCGTGTTACAGGTAATAGGACAGACCCAAACCCCCTAACTTCAGCAGTGGCTCAACCTTCCTGGCTTGCTTGTTGACAATTTCACAGTAAGCTGGTCTCTTGCTTGTACAAATGATTCATACCATCCCGCCATCCTGCGTTCTTTAATTGCGAGGTAGCCAAAGAAAAGTCAGTAAAGCAAATCTAACACCTGATTGCTAAGTAAACTAGTAAAAGTGCATTTACACTCGTGCCAAGCTCCCATCCCTACAACTGCTCCATTCAATCATGACCTGGTACCCATATTGATACTGGCAACCATTTGCTTGAAATGCTTGGTTCGAGGTTGACGTTGCGATTGTCTCAGTTTAAGCTAGTAAACTTAAGTCACACAAGGGCTAAGTTCAACATCGTCGTTGCATTCCTATGACCTCACCAGTCGGTCGTTTGGACCCCGAACAGGTGCTTTCTCCGCACTTGGAAACGAAGCACCGACCTTTTCGGGTCGGGCCCAGGTCGTGTGTAGTATCTGCCCAGACCGCGACGCCCATCCGACTCCCTCAACCATGGCGCCATGGGGAGTGGTTTCGGTGACGTCCGGACCCCTCGTTCGTCCGGATTTCGGGATGTCCGGGCCCCTACTGATCACGGAGGGTCCAGACTTCGGCACGGCGTCGGTGCCCGGGAGCTTCGAGAAACCCAGCGGACCGGTCGGACGGGTGGTCGAGCGAATAGCTCGCCATCCGGTTGGGATCCGACGCATAGCGGCATAGCAGTGGAGATCTGTGTCCAAGTGCGCATCGTTGCGGTGTTCATAGGGGTCCCATCAAGAATTGGAGGGTGGTGCCTTTTCTATGCTGCACGCTGCTGGTCCCACGAACTGACGACGTGTTCTATGGCATGGAACTGACGACGTGAATGGCATAGACCAGCTTCCTGGAACTGACACGTTCACAGACCAGGATAGTCCACGTCACCACCATGTGAGTTCCCAGGAAGTGGGGCTACTGGGGCCGCTTTTTGGTGAGCGTCGATCCGATGGGTGGGATCCTCTATCCTCTGATAAGCTGGAAAGAGACTCCCGGGGAGTCTTAAGCATCCATGCTGGAAGATCCAATCATCAGTGACCAGAGTAGTCAGAGACGCACACAGCTTAGGTTAATGAATTCATCAACCCCCCCCATATCATGGAGATTTAGAAGCCTTTCTCTCATGGTGTTTTTTCCAATTTGCTCATCAGTCAACCGCCTACATGAGCCACGCAACCCCCGGAATGTCGGCCATCTCTGGCTTTCAGCACACTGCAACACAGGAAACGGCTTTTCTTTCGGTCTCATCAGAGCTCCCGTCCCTTGGTTGCTGCGGGACCCTCCCTCCCGAACTCCCACCGAGTTCCTCGCGTTGGTTCCCACCGCACTCCCACGAGACGTGACTGAGATAAGGAGCTCGATCTTGCTCAGCGCGAACTTCGAAAGAGAGGACTCTTTCTGGCGAGCGAGCCGGCGAGCCCGGGCCTTCTCCGGCCGACTAGGCCTGGGGCCTGTCTTCTCGATTCGGTGGGGTTTGCCCCACTGGAAACCCCAGGAAACTGAACCCGAAACAGTGCTGGTTGTGCCACTAATTATGGCTTTCGAGTTCGAGATCCTGGCTACCTGGGAAGTGGCTGCCACTGGGGCTTCGGCCGGGGGAGCTGGTACCTAAACAAGAAACAAGGTCACTAAGCGTTCGACCTGGTCTGGAGCCCTTCACCCTCAAAAGATCTTGGGTCACTGGCAGAGGAATCTTGGAAGAAATACGAGTCCAACGGCCACCGCTTCAAACTCCGATGTCTTGCTCATACAGGCCAACGCCTGAGCCGTGGATCTTTCTGCTATGCCAAATGTCTGTCGAACTTCATCCATCAAACCAGCCAAGTTCGGCACACATTCTGCACGTGGCTGTCGAAATTTGCATGCCCAACCATGCTAGGACTGCGTGGGTGATAATGTGTGTGTAGTCTAGAATTCCAGTTCGACGATATTTGACACCAACAAAGTTTTTGAAAATGGCTGAAAAAAACAAAAAGGTCACCTCGTCAGACCCTTCTTAAAATAGTCTCTCACCCTGACAATGTAACTTCCATCTAATAACCACCCAAACTGGGTGCTGGAGGTGGGTGATAGTGTGTGTGTGTGTGGCTTGTCCACCGGTCCTCACGAAGTCCGTCCCAACGGTCTTCACGTCCACTCGAACCAGCGACCGAATGGACGCCCATGGGGGCAACGGACGCCTCGCCTGCATGGTCCGGTAGGTGCCGGCACGATATTCGGCGGGGCTGTGGGGTGGGAACTGCACATGGAAGTGAGGATCTCGGATGAAGGAGCTGTCCGGCGACCACCAATACCTCAGGCCATCAAAGGGTGACCCAATGAAGTGAGGAATGAGGGTGGTCTTTGAATCGGGAAACCACCAATGGGCCGCTACCCTCTTTCAGGCAGATGAGCGAGGCCAACCTCGGTGTGGAGTCCTGTCCTGACCGAATACATGCAATCTGTATCTTCCCAGTGACTGAACTTCATCCCCCTGCTTGCTTCGGTCAACAGAAGGTCCCGGCCACGTGCATGAGCTTCAAACCGGCCCGGCGACGCGACCGACTCTCAAACTGCCATAGCTATGAGGTCCAACCCCGAGTTGGGAGGGTCAAAACCCTCGCGAACTGAGGGTCTAGTGAGCTTTGGGGGGACCTCGTTTCAGACACCCCTTCGGCTCCAATGTTGCATCTCTTTTTGCCTTTCTCAAAGTCATAGCTCTGACGTCCAATCAATCCAGTCAGTTTGGGCAGACCAATTGCTACAGTTGGAAGACATAGGTCATGTAGACTCTTGATTGATAAACCCCCCTTATTGTATAATCAAGAGTCTGCATTCTGACTCCAAAAGAGATTCCACAAGATGCCGTAAGCTCGATGCTCCACTTTCTGAGGGGGGTTCGCCTTCTTTCGCTCAACGGCCGAGACCTATTCTCGCTCCAGGATGGAGCTGTGTCCAACTCATTTATGTCACGCTGCTTGCGCTCGTTTCATACCAGGACCTTCCAACAAGTGGTGGAAGCCTCACAGGGCCTAACAAATCCTGTTGGAAACACAGGAAACACCTGTGAAGTCGGGTCCAGGTATATAGAAGTTCTCCAAAGGATGAAACAAATCAAAACCAACCTCTTTGGACCACACGGAAGCCCTTCGGCTCTTTGGACCTCTTGGACCCTCGCTTTCACGGGATCCCAGGTGCGTATAGAAGACCACCTGGCGGGGGTCTAACAGCCCAACCTGTGAGACCAGAGGCTTCATGAGGTCTTTCAAATAGGCCAGGGGGGTCTCTCCCCAGATCCGCATCCGCAGGGCTACCGGCGACCGCACCAGACCGGGGACCGGTGGTGACCGAGGCCGAGGACGGTGGAGACGTCCCAGACCCCAGACGCTCCGTGTTTTCACAGTCCGACCGGCTCCCGAACCAAACCATTGGGATTGGTGGTCCGGACCCCTCCATAGGATTCGGTGTCCGGCCCCGTTCCTGAACGGAGGGTCCAGGGTCGCGTCTGGGCAGAAGAAATCCGTCGCACGGGGGGGGCATGTGCCTTTCAAAGAAACAGGCCGTTCGAAATCCATCGGCAGAATGGATGATCTCTTTGTTGCAAGCCCACGTGACCGGAAATGGGAGGAGTCCTATTCCAGGGTCCTGCCCACAGGTTGTACCTCTCACCTACTATCCACAGAGAAGTCTGTTTGCGCCTGGAATCCCCAAGAACCTGCCTTGTGTCAAAACCCGCTTGTTCGACGGAACAAAGAACCGCTTCGTCTGTGCAACGCCAAACCTGGGCGAACATCGGAAGCCACCAAACCCTGGAGCAATTGGCGGGACTGAATTTCCTCGAGGCTGCAGAAGGCCTTGCAGCTCATGGTTCAAGTGAATCCACTCGTCCACATGGACCTGTGGCTCGCCGGACCGCACGGCAAGCCGTGCGGGTTCACCGGGTGGCGCCAAGGAAAAAAAGGGGCCTGTTCCGTTCGGTCTACGGTTTGGTCATCGGGAACCACTGGTAGAGCCTCCAGCCTAAGGGCATTTGGAGCCTGGGAAATGATTCATCGGAGAAATGGACGACGTCTATGGACAAAATCGGTTATAGGTCACAGCGATGGTCATGGTCGCTGCCCCCCCTAAAGCCTTTTACACTGTGTACCAGGGCGGGCAGAGGCCTCACACCGAGGCCAGCTGCGGAGTGCAACCTCGCCTGCAGCCCATTGGTCAGTGCAACGCCCATGCCAAAGAAGAAGGCCTTTTGCGGGAAGTAGATAATTCCTGAGAGCGGACCGTCTGGAGCTAGTAGGTTGGAGGCCATCCCTATTAGGTTGGAGGCCATCGCTCTTGGGTTGGAGAGCTCCTTTTCGGAGCCTTCCGGGCCTCAAGCGGCCGCCTCTCCGTACCATGGCCTACCATGAGATCATCTGGGCGATTCGGAGGCGTCCGAGCTTGGAGATAGGTTGGATGGCAGCACCCCAAGATGTCGATTCAGGCGGCGATTCGGCGATTTTGGACCACTGAACTTGGGTTCGGTGACCGTAGACTCCTGTGCCATGCTCGGTCCAATCCATTGGATCTGTTTGAGGGATTGCCTCATGCTGTGGGGTTGTTCTCCATCAGCTGGTCTGAGAGTCGAAACACATGAGGCTCTGATCAGAGTTCCAGCAGTTTCCCAGCTATTTTTTGGAGCGACGGCGCGGGGCGAGGGATCAACAAAAAAACAAACATGAATCAAATATATATATATATATACTTTTCAGGGGATCAAGAAAAAACAGAAATGAATCAACAAAAAAATAAACGGACCCAAACGTGCAGAGGGAAGAGCAATATTCCATTAATGGGCGAGGAATCAACAAAAAACAAAAAAGTGAATCAAAAAATACGTATATTTCAGGGTGATCAAAAAAAAACAGTAATGAATAAAAACAAAAATAGACAGACCCAAACGTGCAGAGGGAAGAGCAATATGCCATTCGAAGCAGTGATCAAAAGGAAAAACACATCAAAAAAAAGAACAAACAGGAAAATCACATGAAATGACATGAAAATGAAACGAAATGAAAGTGAAAGAAGGAAGAAAGAATGAATGAGTCAATGAACGAGTCAAATGAAATGAAATTAAATGAACTGAATTGAATTGAATTGAATTGACATGAAATGAAATGAAATGAAATGAAATGAAGTGAAATGAAATGAATTGAATTGAATTGAAATGAATGAATGAACGAACGAAGGAAGGAAGGAAGGAAGGGAGAAAAGAAAGTAAACAAATAAAACATCGATAAGTGAACAATAAAGCCAATAATATATCGTTAAGTCACATAAATAGGAATGGGCTAGTCTAGAAAGCTACGCTCAACAATTAAAAGCGGGAGGGGGCGCGGGGGAGGGCGCCCCCGCAATGTAACTTGGCACGACCAAAAAACAGATATCATGGAGTTTCCCCAATGAATCTTCCTTTGATTACTGCAAAGGTCTCTGCGCTGGGCATCTGGGCAAAGTCTTGCAACATCGCATTTCAATTTCCCAGCCTTCCTTCCATCCTTCCTTTCTTTCTTCCTTTGCTCGTTTCTTTTTATGTTTTTTTGTTGATGCATGTTTATTTATTGTTTTGATGCGTCTCCCGACGGCGCGGGTGACCCACGAACTGCCCTTCCTGGCTGCTTCGACGTCGAATCTCTCCAACTCTGTGGCATTTTACAAGCCAATGAAAACGCCTCACGGTCACACACGTAACACAACAAGCTTGGAAAAGAAGTTAAGAAGGCATCATGCCTGCAGCCCTTCAAGGCAAGGATGTCAAAAAGAATCCTCTCAACACTTCTGTCTCTTCTTCCTCTTCTTCCTCTTCCTCTTCTTCTTCCTCTTCCTCTTCCTCTTCTTCTTCTCCTTCTTCTTCTCCTCCTTCTCCTTCTTCTTCTTCTTCGGACTTCAACCCCTTCCTAGAGCGTCCAAAAACTTGGAATTTGTCTCTTTGTGCGCATGGCAGCCACTAGGGACTCCAACAACATCCAGGAAGATCAACATGGAAGCTGAAAAGACGAATTCCCTAGGCTTCCAACCAGCAATAGTTTAATGGTTCTTAACCGGACCACAATTGTTTTTCTAAGGATTCTACAGTACACTATAAAGGATTTTACACTCCACCGTGTTTTAATGGTCTTGGACTTGCAGGGAGATGCTTTCAGGTTCCATGTTGATCCTCCATGGTGAAACACTTGTAGGCGCGAAACCTTCCATTCTCTTGATGAAAATGCTCCTACCTACGAGCTGCTTCCGATTTCAGCATCCCACACAAGTGCCAGTTTTCAGCGCTGCGCCCATGTGAATCAAGGCGCCCCAGCCGCGTTTGCTGATGATTGCTATGCATTCTTCAGGATCGGTGCGGCAGGCAGGAGCCACCTTTGCCGAAGGTTCCACGGGATTCCATGTGTACTCTACTTCCGAGACTTCGAATTTCCAAGGAATCTATCATAGATTCTTGTGGGCTACTCCGACTACAGTCGTCCGCCTTCAGAAACGTCACACACCGACAGTCTGACGGGAGCCCGACAGTCTGAGCATCGGTCTGAGTGTGCGACCCACCAGCTGTCCTTGTAGCACTTCCAATGCACCTGGCCCGCTCACTCAGCTCCAAGCCACAGCCCTCTCAAAAAAGGTGTTGCATCGGTGAATCTCTTCCTCTTTTCGCTTCGCAGTCTTGACTCTCTCTCGTTCCGCCGAGAAAAAACGTGTGTCTTCCGCGCCCGCCCCACGTGCTCCGGGGGCCTGATCACCCACCTGCTCCGTACCCTCCAGATCGTTGGTGATGCTCAAATACGTCTTCACGGCGTCCGGGTATCTCCTGAGCTGCGACTCGCCGCGCGCACGGCGTGCGCACGACTCGCACGACCTGCGCGGCGGCGTTCGCAGGGGGGCCTCTGCGCCCGTTTAGGGCCTGCACCAAGAGTCGTGAAGCTGTTGTTGCAGAAATCCAGCCGAGAGTGGTTCACCTGCGGCCAAGTCAGGACACGGACTGGCACGGACTGGTTCACCTGCTGCTGCTAAGGCGGGGAGTGGTACTTGCTCCATTGCGAAATCCTCCATGTGCTCCTCCCAAACAGGCTCACCTCCATCAGGGCATTGGGTCGGCGCTCTGCCACCTGGTTCATCCTCCGGATCAAAACCTCCCCCAAAGATTGGAAGGTTGACATCATTTGTTCATTTTCGACCCGGTTTCAACCAGGGTGCCAGGGTGCCGCCCGAAGCTTGACCTCGGCCCCCGCACATCTCTCACCAGCGGCAGGTAGAGTTCTGGTTGATGCCAAGACCTGTTGTAGGAACGATAGTACCTCAGTCGTGGCAGGAAACCGAAGGCGCTTCCGCAAGGAAAACGACCGACCCTACGAAACCCACGGCGCGCGCGCCGACTGTAATGATAGTGATGTTCTTGCTTACCGACTGTTACAGGTGCTAGGACCCCAATGTATTCATATGTGTATATGTATACAGAGAGAGAGAGAGTGACAGACCTTCTTTGACAGGGTTAGCTATGTATCAAAACCCAATCAAAAGAATTATCCTCTGAGCTCTATTGGCTATTGGCCTCCCAAGTTGTATCTCTACTTTGCAATAAAGTTCCGAGTGGGGACAAGCCCACAGAACAGAGCACCTCTCTCCATATGCAATGCTTTTGGAGAACAGCTTCGTCAAAACGGTCTACCTCATCAAAAGAGCAGGGTGCGAGGCTCCAAGCGTGCTTCAGGACACCCACCAGGAATGTTACCCTCCCTCAAACAACCATGGAAGCTGAGAAATGGCCGGTTCTAGAGGAAAATGCCCTTCCTGGACCCTAGACTTCCACTTCCATGAGTCTTTCAGGGTGCTCCTCTAACCCCACGTCCCCACCCCTCAAAACGGTCAACGCGCCATGACACCCACGCCCCCAAACGTGCGAAGTGGGGGCGAAATCGAAGGAAGTGTCAACATGAGAGCGGTGAGGGTGCTGGACGGGGAGGGTGTGTGTAGAAATACTGGAAGATGAGAGAGCTATCTTCCACAAAAAAAAGAATGAAACCCTCTGGTGCTCTTTGCTTCGTGCTACGCCAAAGACCCTCCATGGAGAGGCAACAAAATATGAAGAGATCCTAGTGATAAGCACACCACAAATGTTTTGGTGATCTATCACACATGCCTCAATCTTCCGTTGTTGCTACATGCTGCATGCTCATTCAGAAAACCAGCAGAGATGTTGCACAATTGCAGTAAAAACCAAGCGACTCCAGTGCGAGCCCTTGTTCCAAGCCCCGGCCATGCGCAGCTAGCAGGTACATCCCTTCTTTCCCGACCTAGGTCGAGCTCGCTGCTTGGAACGGTCGCTCTCCACACCCCGGTCTCAGCCCGTCCTGCACGGCCCGACGAGGGCGCCCGACGAGCTGAAATCGAGGCCGTCGGACCGAAGGGGGAAAACCATGTGGATCGGACCTCCCTTGCGATGGGGACGAGGGCGGGGATTGGGGGGTTGGTCTGGGGGGTGGGTCTGTTTGTGACCTCTGGTTGTGACCAACCACCCGGAAGATGGTCGAAGTTCCTGTAAGAAAGGTCATGTCTGGGTTCCAGGTAGATTTGGGGGGATCAGTTGGGCTCGTCTTCCTCTTTTCCTTCCAGATCGGGAGTCTGATCCATGTCACAGGGGGCAAAAGACAATGCCCTAGAGCAACGGAGTCAAAGGGCTATCTTAGTCTGTGAGAGGGTACCCATGGAACTGCGAGCTCATGGAAACCTGGTAGCACCCTTCGCACTGCTCAAATGCGCTTAATAAACCAGTGGCGCACTTCAGTGGCGCGATTGAGAAACCTCTCCCCGAACGCAAAGTTGAGTCTTGCACTTCAAGCCAACATGACACTACCCTCACCACATCTTGCGCATAGCCCTCCCTTCTGCATTGCCACACTCGCTTGCAACACTCCCGTTACAGTATGCCAAAGGCCCACCACAAACGTGGTGGATGCACACATGCACGTGGTAGCCGTGCAATCACTCTGTCTCACAGCAACTGGAGGCCGATCCGGTATACCCACCCCTTATTGCCCATTTTCCACACGGTCCATGCCGTCCCCGGACGTGGTCTCCCTCCCCCCCGTGTTCGCCGTCTCCGTTCGGTTGACCTGTTGTGGTGTCAATTCCTGGGCAAAACCATGGTTGTTCGGGATTCCAACCATGAAATCCCTGCTGGGCGACCCAAAACCCAACCACCATCCCACCCACGGTCGATCAGCAGCGACCGCTTGGCGGGAACGTGCCCAGCGGCATAGGTCTGGCTTCCCAGCTCCGCCAAGCTGTCCAGCCTCCGGACGAGTTGTTGGGGGTCTCCGAAGCAGTTGGCAGGTGACATTGGTTGGTTAGACGAAGTCTCCCGGTCGAACTTCGGTGGGACTCCTACTACCAACAGTGGATGATGAGGATGATGATGCGGAGGATGATGATGATGATGATGACGACGACGACGACGACGACGACAATGATGGTTAGATTCAAGGCCTTTCTCAGAAATAGTGATCATCTTTTTTCCGGCTGTTTCTGATAATTTGCTACACCCTACCTAGAACCCAGACATGACACTCTGGTCTGATAGGAAGTTGGACCATATTTTTTGGGTTGGTCAAAACTAGAGGTCGCCGCCCCCTCTTTTTCTCCGAAAGATGTTGCAGCCCGTTTGGGCTGAAATGTTACACGGTCCCTGGACATCCAAGACCATTGAGAAATCATGGACCTGGTTTTGTGGTGAAAAATCCTTAGTTCAACCATGGTGGTTCGGGATTCAATCCATGAAATTCATGGTGGGCGAACCGGTCTTCGCCGGGTTTTGGACAGTGGGATTGTTTCCAGGCATTCTTGTACCCCTAGACCACCCCCGTGGGCTTTCGCCTGCCTCAAGCATGTTTCGAAACCTACCTGGATCCCGAAAACGCTCGGTGTGTGGTCCGGCGGGGTCCGTGACGTGTGGTCCACCACCGGACTTCGGCTTCGGAAGGTCCTGGTCACACGACCCTGTCACACCAGGTCCTGTCACTCGGGCGCCCAAGGGTCAACCGGTCCACCGGGCGATTGGCCGCTAAGACTCATAGGTACTCCGCTCCTGCAATGTCTAGTCTGCAAAAAGTGGATTGATTGAGCAGATGGGCACAACCACCAAAAGGTGGTTGATATGGACCTACCATCTGGGCGACCGACTAGGGGTGCCAGTGCCATGTCTCACCTCTGAAACCATCTGTGACCGATGTCCGTCACCCGAAGCGATTTCCCTACACGACAGACACCGGCATGTTCAGACTAAGAAAAGGATCTTCCACATAGACATGGCGCTCCACGTGTACACGTCCGCTCTATGATGAGGTCTTGAGTTGCATGAACCACCCCCCGTCGACCGTTTGGGACTGTTCGAGTGAACCGCACCGCCCGAACCGCCGGTGGTTTTTCGCCACGCCACCAGCTGCCCAGATGTGTCTGCAGGCCCGACGATGGAAGGTTCTCCAACCAATTCTCCACCGTCACCTTGCATCGGTCTGAAGACGATGCCAAAGGCATGGGTCAGTCTCCCCCGGTGCCGCTGGGTCCGCGGGCCGTCTCGCACGAGGTTTCGGCTTGTCTCGCTGAATCCCAGGGTGGGCCCACCATGAATTGTGGCGAAGAGATCCCCCAAGCTCCGGTCGTAGCGATGCCCTTGTTACTAGTAGCTTCTTGTTACTAGTAGCAAGGCCAGGAGCCCCGTTCGTAGCGTTCTGGTTCCTAATAGCGATGCCCTTGTTACTAGAGGCTTCCTGGTCCCACCATGAATTGTATGGGCTTGGACTAGGGAACCTCGAAGGTGAGTGGAAGTTGCCTCCTTCCGAACGTCCAAAGACAAGCGTTCCAAAGACGAAGCCCGAGGTCGGGCCTTACCCTGTCGAGGTATTCCTTTGCAAAGGCTTGGATGGCTCCAAACCTCTTCAGCTCCAAACCGTGTACGAAGCGAGGAGTTGGGGGATCCAGACCTGGAGATGACCCTCCGTCACCCGGTTCAGCTGTCGACAGGTGGTGACAGCACGAGCAACCGAAGGAACTCGGCACCACCGGTGAACTCCTTCGACGCACCATCCGGGTCCGTCCCGGTCGTTTCGGTACCAGAACCCCCCGGAGCTCCCCGCGGTCCCACCCATGGCGCGACCGAAGGGTCTGAATCCCGAAGAACCATTGGTTTGACGAAGTGAATGATATATACCAGGACCTGACTTCACAGGTCACCACCTGCGACGCCCTTAAGTCTTTGATACAAGTCTCCAAAAGCCACCATTTCGGAGACCTGTTGGAGGGTGCTGGTATATAATAATCGACTCAAGTGGTCTCACTGCCCGTCTGCCTTTTCATCTGTGAGAGTTTCAGCCCGTTTTGGGTGGAAATGTGGCACACCCTAAGAATCCTTGGGCTCTCCATGGCAGGGGTCGGACCCTCCATAGCAGGGGTCCGGGCCCTCAAAACCCTATGTGTTTGAGGGTCCGGATTCTTAGGGCAGTTGGATGATCTCCATTCTGGCCACATTCCCCTATGGCCCACCAGGAGTTTCCCACGGCTGCTCTCCGGACTCTCACCTGGTGGACTGCCACCCAAAAGACTCCTTCCCGACTGGACCTGGTCGACTGACGCCCTTGATTCTAGCCAATGACCATCGAGTGAACGGCCGAGGGTGGACGTGCCGGCGGTCGCCCCCCCCAAACCCCGTGTCGTGCAGCGCGTCACGTGCCATCGCGTGTTCAGACCACACTGAGTGGTACTGTCAACTGCAGGGTCACCATCGCAGCCTGCAGGTGAAAGGACTTCACCGTTTTGTTTTCAAGGCGGGCGTCGTTCATCGTGATCTCGGTCGAAAAAAAACATCGCGAACCGTCCGAGCGATCGGAACACATTGATCTCGACGCAGAAAGTGGCAGAATTCACTGGGAAGAAGAGGAGGTCACAGTGGAAGATATGTCGTTTCCATGTCTTCGCCGTCCTCAAGTATCCTTCATATACAATGAGGATGGTGAGTGGTGCATGTCCAGGATGAATTCTGGACATCGAGACGTTCGTCCACCTAGAAAGAGCTGGCCACGTTCGTCCGGGCGGACCAAACAACCAAAAAACACAAGTCATGTGGTTCCCACCAACTCCCTAGGATTCCTCCCAGGTTGACTGGATTGACCGAACAACCACGGATCAGGACCTAATTCTTTTTTCACTACACGACCAGGTCTTCTCAGAACTATGTTCACCTTTACTTGAGCGACCTAATCCTCAAATCTCAACTCGCGAGTTGACCCAGGCTTTGTCTAAGGTCTTCCCACGCCCACTGTTCGGACCTTGACCACGGACCCTTTCGACCCAGCCTACCAATTCAAGGATTTGTTCACGGCTGGAGCTGATATAGGTCTGGTCGACGTGCAAGCCCAAGACCTCCAAGACTGAGCTGGAATTCACCCGTCGCAGAGTGACCACCCGAGCCACCGCGTTCGGCTCCCCGCGAAGCCGCGGCGAGGTCGGGCGGCACCGAGTCCTCCCCGGCGGTCCGAAGAAAAAGAGAAGAGTGGAGCGCGGTGTGGACGGTCCGTGGCCCCTTTGAAGCCTTTATAACTTGGTGGTTGGTGGGCAAGAATAGAGGTCACTCGGGTTCTAGGGGTGTATGTTTAAGCCTTTAAGCAATGGCCATTCCTTCAAGCAATAACGGTGGTCACCCAAAAAGCACCCACACCCACCAGGACGTTCCAACGAATGGGTTTTTGGCAGCCCAGGACGTTCCCGGTCACCGAACTTATCACCAGAAAACACCGATCTTGGAAGCTCCAGGCACACACAGGGCACGTTTGGATTGTGATTTTGCTTTTTGCAGCTCCCTGAAATACTCACGGGTTTTTTTTCGGCTCTCGCTGCGAAAAATATAGTTAGTAAAGACCTTTCTCAAAAAGAGCGATCATCCTTTACCGACTGTTACTGGTAATGTGATACAGGGTGATACACCCTTCTAGATAGATACCGTCTTTTGTCGCTGTGGCATCGGAGACACCCCATCAAGCACCCCTATGTGAGCAAATGGCCACGTGAGGCCCACGTCGTTCTTCATGGTCCTTCTCCAAAGTGCCATGTGCCACTGAAAACGCACAGTGGTAGACGTCCCACAATCTAATAGCCCAATAGCGATGGCCTCCAACATGTCCTCCAAATATAGGCGTCCCCTCCCTGTTTTGGGGAATCTTGACTGCTCAGCCAAGCACTGTACTACTACGTCAGCTTCCAAACAAAAAATGGAACAGACCCACGTCGGAACAATGAAAGTGACCAAACAAAAGAAAGATGCCCCATGAACGCTGCATGAACTCCTGCATGACTTGTGGGCGTGTGAACTCACCGGGTGCGAACCACCGAAAAAATCCTTTCCTCTTGCCAACGCATTGTCTCACTTCTGGCCCCGTTGGGGCGGGGTTTCCCCCACTCTTCCGCCTCAGACACGATGATCCGATAGACATTGGACACCTCAGTCGACTTGCTCGATTGGTGGACTGCTCCCTCAGCCTCCCTCCGCGTTCACGGACTGAGACGGGTGGGCGGGAGAAGCCGTCACCGGTTGGATGGTGCGACCTGTTTGATCGGGCCCTTCCCAACCCAACGAGGAGACCTGGCAGTGAGGATGCTGGTACATGTCTTGGTTCATTTCCATCTACCCAGCCCCTGCTGTTTTCTGGTCAAAGCATCCCTTCCAGGTGCCAAACTGGCATTCCTTTTTCACTCCACAAGCAGCAAAAGGAGGCACCACTATAGCTCAGTCAGTGCTCAGTCGTCATTGAAAAAGCCTCGCTCTTTCGTCCATTTCTTTCTGCCCTGGGCACTCTTCCGAACTTGGAGACCCGTTCCATTCGTGGATGACGGATTCGCGGTGAGCGGTGAGCGGTTTCGGGTGCTATCCGCCAGTCTTGGTTTTGGAGAACTGCATTCCATGGTCCTCCGAGTTCGGAGGATGAAGTCCGGTTCCGACCTGTGTTTCACAGGTGGTGTTCGATCGACCGGAGTGGGGGGGGTCGACACCCTGGAGCCATTCTTCGGTGAAAACAGACCGAAGAAGAAGCCGGGAGCTCTACACACCTCGAGGCGGCCCTTCAGTTCGGTTTAGACCGCTCCAGAGGCAGGGAAGGGCCACAAATCAGGCAGTGTGGATGCTTGTACGGATTAAATGGCAAGTCCTTACTTTCTACGGCTCGAAGTGAATAGTTCGGGTTGTCCACCTCGGAGTTGATGCACTCCACTTTGAAACTGAGGCGATTGGATCCTGTCGAACCTGCGTACAGAAACGCCATCTTGGAGGCAATGTGACTCATGGCCACTTCCCCCGTCGAAATGTCGATACCGCAACCCATAGTACATTCGGTATCCAATGGTATCAAATAAACAAAATCGAGCGGAAATCGAATCAAAGGTTATATTGTATAACATCATCCTCTCTTCCCTTCCTGCTCGCCCTTTTTTCTACTCTTGTCAAGGCACCAACTTGGCAGAACCCCAGTTGCCGATCACGATGCCCAATGGCATCGACACACCGTCCTCAATCGCCAGGCTCGCGAGAATTTGTGACGCGGCCGCAGGGAGGCTCCCTCTTAGCTCCTTGTAGCTCCCTGCTTCCCTGCTGAATGGGGAAATTTATGCAAGACTTCCAACTTCCTCCACGTCCACTTCGGCAGAAGTTCTGCAGAAGTCGCTTTTCAGATGGAACGGGGGCCCTATCAAACTCACCGAAAAAACGGGCTTCTTCGACCGAACCCTTCGACCCCAAAAGGACTCGCTGTGAGCAAGCAAGTGAGGGAGATCGGTTGGGTCTATCCCAAGACCAGTGGATGGTTGTTGTTCGCTTCTTTGACCTGTAACAGGACATTCCTGTAACCAGAGACCTTTTGCTTCTTCCTTCGGCCAAAACAAGGCCTAAACGAAACGACCGGGTTCTTGTTGACGGAGACCGGTCAGTTCGGACCAGAGACCGGTCCGTGCGGTGTCGCCGGTGACCGGTCGGTGAAGCCCAGCGGAGTGAGCGAAAGGCTTCGAAAAGCACCGAGATTCTTGGAAGGTCCTGGCAGATGTAAAGATATGTAAAAATACACAGCAACATGGGAATTCCTCGTTGCGGGCACAGAAACTTAGCAAGACATATCATCATCCTGTCTGGGTGTCCTGGACCACCCCTACTATCCGGGTTTTTGCAGGACACCCAGACAGGATGGTCCAGGTAAGAACACTAGAGTCACTAAGGCTGATCTTTCAATGATTCCATGTGCGTCATGGCCGTGAAGCACCCCAACGAATGTCAAAGAAGGCCGTCCAGGTCGCCTCCTTCGAAGCCACATCTCCAGCTGGCCAATTCTGTAAGAACCCTGAGCCCTCAAAGCCCTGAAAGGACTCCTCCGGATCCCTCTACTCAAGTCTGGGTGGGGAAACCCTCGAGAAAACAGGTTTCTGCAGACAGGTAGGTCCTACCAGGTAGGTGAACATCACTCCTGGGTTTGGTCTTTTCCATTTGGTGAGCGCCGCACCTGCGCAGGGACGACCAGTGACACCTCAAGGGATCGGTCGCAGTCCCAAGTGGCCAGGGTCACATTCCTCCGCCTCGACCATGGCACTGCTTCCTCCTCTAAGCCTCAGCTGAGCAGCGATTTGCTGGGATACAAGTGAGCCCAAAGTGCGCCACTTTCTTTCAAAGTGCTTCTTTTTCCAAACTCGTGGAGATCGTATAGGACACCGATCTCATTGGGTTTATCGGAGCTTCCAGGGCCCACCCTAGGATTTCTGAATCCCGAGGCCAAGCATTGAGGCTGTTACACCGGTCAACCCCATCAAGTGACCACTTCGCGACCTTAGCCCTTCTGAACCTTAGCCCTTCCCGCGGGCACCACCGCGCCAGGGCGGTACTTCTGTGTTCGCGTCACCGCCACCCGAACCTTCGCATCACACACGATACGGTGGGGGGGGGTGTTCCGTGGACGTGATCATCAGTGGACACCAGGCGATCTGTTCGGTGGAGGGTCCGTGGACGTGATGATCCCAAGGCTTTGGGGGGACCTTGCGGGGAGCGAAACCGAGGAGCGATGGGTCTAGTCCGATGTGGAGCCACCGGCCGAAGAGCGGGGCAACTGGACCGGTTCCGGTCAGTGCGAGCATGGGTACCAGCAATTGGAAAGGAACGTCCTCTTCGCATCACCGTTCAGACCATCTTCAAACCAGTTGACTGAACTTTCCGGCAAAGGTTTGAGGCCAAACAAGACGAGTTCGAGTCGAAAGGTGCTTGGGACAGCCACTATCGCCCATGCCAAGCTTCAATCTTCCGCGGGCAGCAGTTGAAGCCAGGAGAGCACAATCCAGGACACCACTCGCATAGTCCCATGGATGCGCCGAGTCGGGCTTTCGAGCTGGAGATGATGTACAACCCCAGAAACGGAAGAAGAAACACCACTGGCAGAGGCCTTGAACTTCGGCTTCTGGTCTTGAACCGCAGACTGTGTTTCTGTGTTGTTTCCATTTTGCGCCTTGTTCAAGGAGTTCGTTGGAATCTGGGCTTGTCCGTAACAGATTCGCCCCCTTCGAGCCGGTGAATATAGACAGACAGAAGTCCTCCCTCCGGTCAGAAGTCGTCCCTGCGCTCTCGAAAAGCGGTCGAAAAGCGCTACCTGCTCCTGACCACATCCAGGTCCGGTCTGAGAGTGAGTGAGAGAGTGAGAGTGAGTGTGAGAGTGATGCTATCCTAAGAATCCTTGGGCCCGCAGAGTCTTGACTTGCACCCGGTGCCACAGAACACCCCCCCCCCAGCACGGGAACGCTTTTGGTCCTGCGAATGCGTCGTCGTTTTTCGTGTTACAGTATCCATACATTCCAGGCAGAAGTCTGGCCAGCTCTTCAGCTTTCTTCGACCTATGTCGCCGGGTGTGGGTCTTAAAGACACCTCACACCAGTTCGTTGGCGAATTCTATCAGCCGTATTTAAGACATCTGCACTGGAAAAGCTGCACCATCCATGGCTTGTCTGGTACAGAATATATAGATCGATTCTGAAGCTGAAAAGGAATAACATCTAGTTTTGTAGAACAATGGAGCAACAAGAGCCACAAATCTGGGTGCAAACGGAGAAACAGGGCCGCCCTTGTCGGCGTGCTTTGTACATCAGCCTGCAGCGGATTCCAAGGTCACTCCGCACAGTTGTTCGATGTGTTTCTCTTTGACTAGATTTTTGGAACCGTCTCCGATTTTTGGAACCTTTTGGAACCACCGAGCCCAGAATCTCGCCAGACCCTTCGGAATGAGGACCAAACATCTTCCTCGAAAGATGGTCCTGGATGAAAACCCCGGACAGCGCTGGACCCAGTTTCCCCGCTGGATCCAGTGACCCCAAAAAGGGCTGAGTGTGTTTTCTCTCGGTTTCGGGAAGGCTCATCAAACCCTCCCACCTCTTCTCGTGTCTTTTGGGGTGTTCAAATGTCCCCGGTGACCAGGGTAACCTGCAGGTGGTATCTGGTCCTCCTGCGGTACATTTTCCAGGTTCTCTTCCAGGTTCTTTAGGACAGCCCCACTTGGAGCCCCCTCCCAAAAAAACAAAAAAAAACTAAAACTCATCAACTCATCCTCTTTCTTCACCTACGAAGGGTCCGATGGTCTGGTCATGTCTGGTGTCACATGGAGACCAAGGATTCCTTAAGAATCTTCTCCAATTGAATCTCAATCTTCGCTACACCCTCACGCAGTTCTTGCAGCTGCTGCCGAGCCACCTGAACGAAAATGAAACAACCCACACCAAACAAACTATGCAGTCCTCCCTCAAACCACGAGGAGTCTCCCAAAAAGAATCCCTCCCAAACGCTCCGGTCACAGCCTATTGGTCCCTCCAAACCGGGATTGGTTTGACCCCAGGCCCCTGCAAAGGAGGGTCCGATCCTCCCAAAGGCTTCGGGTGCAGAAAAAAATAGAAACACATGCCCGGAAGGAAGTCAAAAGAACGGACCAGGCCGTGTGCCATGAGCTGTACAGGTGTCACCCTCCATCGGACACCCTCCAAGTGAAAAACAGAGACGAAAATGGGATTGGAAACCTTAAAGCTATGGGGGATTGCCGGTCCTGTGCTGCGGGACGTGGGACTACGGGACATGGGGGACGTGGGGGACGTGAGGGACGTGAGGGACGTGAAGGACGGGACGTGGAAGCTCGGGACGTCCGGGACGTGAGGGACGTCACGGTCGTGCGTTCAATGAAAAAACGTGTTTGTACACAAACCCTCGGCTCGAGAGATTTGAAGGATGCGCTCAGTGAACTCAAAAACAAATGTTGTGTCCTTGATGGATTGCTCTTATCTCTCAATATCATGCCCGCAAGATTCGAAATTTGACTTGCAAGCTGCTGCAAATAAGTAGTAGTAGTCGTAGTCGTAGTCGTAGTCGTAGTCGTAGTAGTAGTTGTAGTAATAGTAGTAGTAGTAGTAGTGGTAGTGGTAGTGGTAGTGGTAGTGGTAGTGGTAGTGGTAGTGGTAGTGGTAGTGGTAGTGGTGGTGGTAGTAGTAGTAGTAGTGGTAGTGGTAGTGGTAGTAGTAGTAGTAATAGTAGTAGTAGTAGTAGTCAACGTCGTCGTCGTCGTCGTAGTAGTAAGTAGCAGCAGCAGTAGCAGTAGCAGTAGCAGTAGCAGTAGTAGTAGTCGTAGTAGTAGTAGTCGTCGTCGTAGTAGTAGTAGTAGCAGAAGGAGTAGGAGTAGGAGTAGGAGTGGGAGTAGGAGTAGGAGTAGGAGTAGGGGTAGGGGTAGGAGTAGGAGTAGGAGTAGTAGTAGTAGTGGCGGCAGTAGTGGTAGTGGTAGTGGTAGTGGTAGTGGTAGTGGTAGTGGTAGT